CTGTTTTCTTGCCTGTGCTCTTATGTCGTCTTAAGGATGTAAAATCAGAAGCATTTCTAAAACTACAGGTGTAATAACACAATCCTACTTTTCCATGCATCCTTCCTCTCTTCTCTCCTCTTTCCTTCCTTTCATTTCCTCAAAACAGAGATACAACAAAATAAAACATTCGTATATATAGCACACACAAATGCACTTGGGTATTCATTCATTACTCACACTGCCTCATATTTTCTCACCTCAGTAGGAGACATAATAGTTTTCTAGATGACAGCTTGCACCATCTCCTTTTTTTGTCCTCCTCCTATATGTGTGCACCCAAACATGAAAGAATGGCAAAGCTGCTGAATATTTGCCTTTCAATTGTATATCACCATAAATAAAAAATTGTGCTAAATAACTTGCAGAGTGCTATCCCAGTGAGGATATATTTTTACAGTTACCATGATCTTGAACCCTTCCACTCCAGCACAGTAGTGGAACAGAGTGTTTCTCCTGGGAAAGCCGCCACTTCTTTTCTAAAATGTCCATTTTTACAGGACATACTCTATGCCATTAGTTTACTCCAGGGGTTAATAAACCTCAGAATCACTTCTCTTATGTACAGTAGAGTGGCATAATGACTTCACTGCTGAGTTCTTTTCCTGTAAAGGGGTACATTAGAAAGCACGCAGGAGAGAAATGAATGCATGCCCTAAGCCCCTAACCAGCACTTTCATTGTCTTTATAGTGTACCTGAGAGTATATTAGGAAAATAAAGAAGAATCTTCGATTTACAGACTTAAAATGATTTTTTTTCATTTTCTCTATTGGCTTCAAGACTGAATCTTGAGAACTTTAAACTCTATTTTATATGCAGGGCTTAAAAACCAATTTACCATATTCCTATTAGCCAAGAGATAAAAGTCTACAGCCCAGCAGTACGTAACAGTTTCCAAGGGTAATACCCATGCCCAAGCTTTCCAAAGGAAGAACATGGAGGGTATAATAGAGAAGGTGATACACATCAGGCAGGTTGTCCCTGGACCATTTTCTTTAAGCCTCAGGCCAGCTATGTATCTGATGAAACTGAAATCCTGTCACCCCTCTACAAGTGTCATATACGCTAACATGTATGGATTGCTGCAGCCTGCTGTCTGTGCCAGTGCTGCAGTTATCTCAGTGCAGGGATGCTGGAAGAATCACAGAGGAAACAGATAACTGTGTTTAAGCTTTAGGGATTGCCATCTTTGTAAGGGGTAGCCTGACTTTCCCATCAGAGATAAAAGGGACATGGCAACTACTTATGCGACAAGCAAAACTGCAAGGATCAGAAGGTAAAAGCTGGCATAGCACGAAAAAATCTACAGAAAAGTCTTATAAAAACACAAAAGTATCGAGAATATCGATAAATCCCTAAAGCTTGCAACACTGGTTCAATGGAGTCATGCCAGCTTACTCCAGCTGAGCATCCGGCCTATGCTCTCTGCAAACAGCAATAAACATTTTATTAAATCAAACCTCTTCCTTGCTGTGCCACTACATATAAGAATTTTTTTCAGTAGGTAACACCCTGCTAATGCTGAATATACAGTTATAGAGATACATTACCTATGCACTTTTTGCCTGAGAAAGGAGACTCTTCTCTCTCCATTCTCTTATCACTGTAAGCACCTGTTGCTGCTCTAACAAATACGTAATTCTTTGTATTTCTGTATTTCCTGATATATCATTTTTGTTACCTCCAACACCAGTTTCTGCCTCTACTGTTTTCACAACAGGAAATAATCCAAGGTTTATCTTTTTAATAGCATGATCCCACACTCATCTTTTAAAGAGTAGCATGCCAGCACATGACTGGCCTTACTCATTCTAGTTTTCAAGGTGGCCAACCTCTTTCTGAAGTTTTTCTTCTAGCCCATACACAATCTGTCATGCTTTGATCCCTCATGAAAAGTATGACAGTTAGCACGACACGGGTGTCCCTCTGTATCTCAGCTGTAAATGATTAGATTTTTGTTTAATCAGGTAATCTTCTGGCACCTGTCATGCTGCAGTCAGGACAGGGTGCTGTACCAGGTGACAAGGCTCAGCTCTTTCCCCCTGACTGCTCGAGTATTAACACAGGAGACAGACTCATGTTACTGCATGTGCTGCATTGGCAGAGAGATAATACAGCTTCCTATATACTCTGGAATTCCCTTTGGGTTTCAAGTAACAAGCTTGCCAAAAGCCGTTCGCCTTATTTTTAAATATTTTATAGCTGCATAAAAAGTGCCAGATGCTGTTTAGAAACTGGACTTATGGCTAACCACTCAATCAGCAAAAAAGGGAAACTGAAATGGCTTTTATTTAGCAGCTGCCAATGTAAAGAAAAAAGAAACAAACAAAACAGTGCTTGCACGTGACATAATTTGGATATAGAGCCTCTGCTACAGTGACATACTCAGAACATTTTCCATTCAATTTGAGATGGCAGGTATTGTATTTTACATACAAGAGACTTATTTTCTACTCAAGACAGCTTTTTCCTTGTGTCAGTGGAATAGATGCTTGACCACCTGTTCTCAAAATTGAAATGTTTCATTAAAGAAACATGCCCATTATCTATCGTGCAGAAGATATTCTATATTAGATGCAAACTTCGAAGACAAAGAGATTGTAAAGAGAGACAGTAAAATAATTAGTGACAAAGGGAAGGCAGTGAATGTCCGGACTCCAATAAAACATTTGATATGGTACCTCACAAAAATTTACTCGAAAAAAAATTAATTCAAAATTCGCTCAGATAAAGGCCTGCCACAAGAATGGGAAGCTGCCTAATTTGTCCTGAAAAGGATAATGATAAATGACAGCCTATTGATCGAGTTGGAGGACAGATATCTTCTGAGAACTATTGGCTTTAGTGGTTGCTTTCATGCATTGATAAGATGCTAGCTACAGTAAATTATATAATCTTCTGTTTGAAAAGATACTACTACACCGCAACATCAACAGCGTGGGGAAACAAGACAAGAGGGAGACTCCAAACAAACTGCTGAAAGGAAAGGTAATATTTAAATCCAAACAATGCATGAGAGTATTTGATGAAAAATAACCTTAAATGCAGCCTCTCAGATGACAGCATGTAGAGGATAACGTCACATAAACCTAGCTTTAATAGAATAGGTACAAACTGGCAGTCATATATGGCACAAAAAAGCACATTTTATTTTGACCCATATAAACATTTTTCCAAGATGCTCTAGGATTGGATCTGTAAAACTATATTTATTCCTCAGCACCTCCATTCCAAACTAACAAAAAGGCTGAGACACTGATTTCTGAATGAGGCTTATATGTACTAGAAAACAAATAATATGGGGAAAAAAAGAGTGAGTAGCCATCTGCAGGACCTGAGACAGCCTAAAGCTAGGAGAAAAGAATTATTAAGATTCATCAAAACTATACTAAAAGAAAAATAAAGCAAGGGGAAATATAGTAAGAAGATCAGAAATTACATCATTTGCAACGAGATGCACTACATTGCCAAAAGAAAAGGCGGTCAAATCTCTTCACTATGAACTTCACGTTCAAGGTGAACAGGTATGTACAGTGAAATCACACCAGCCACACAAGCCAGTGGAGTTGTAACAGTTATACCGGGACTTATTGTCTCCGCCACAGGGAATGAACATTACAATATTGTTTTGGTAGCTACATTTTAACTAGAGACAACCAGGGAGAAACAGAGCATTTACAAATATATAAAAAACGTAAAGAACAAACTGCAGTAACTTCTGTAGTTTACTTCAAACTCCCAAGGAGACATAAGAGGAGGAAGAACAATCCAAAATATTTTTACGATATCAGTTATCTGAAACAGAGAAGGATCTTCGAAAATATTAGAGGCTATCTAGATGAACAGCAATTTGCTTTGACTGAGTGATAAAGTCTGGACCATACAGTGACCTACTCCCCAACTTTTTAAAGATATAATCTGGTAATTTTTGATAATATTGGTTGTTCTTATGCAAAACCTCATCAAGACTACTACAGTCTAATCAGAGTGCATCTACAGACATGAAAAAGCATGCATATGAAGAAAATACATGATATATTTTATAATTGGATCCATATGCCTCCCTTGTAAATCTTCTAGATCGAAAACTCCTACCTCTATTACTTCCTGACATAGAGCATGCCTAATTCAGATACGGGATGTGATATGCACACAGACCCTGACAAAGCTTGCGTGTTTTGGTATCTTTGCAATGCTAGTAACAGCTAGTTGCATGTAATGTTAGTACAGTTATTAAATACTGAATATTCATTGAAATAAGCAGCATCTGAAACACAGAAAGAAAAACACAATTCACTTCTACCAAGACCACACTTAGTCTACCATAACCTTAACTATACTCAATTAAAGGTATAGCAATGATTTCAACTGGCATAGCGGCAGAGCTCAACCATTTTCCAATGGTTGCATACAGTAACATATAAATATTACAAGCAAGGACACAAACAACAGAAATGGTAAACCTATGTTTAACAACTTTACAGAGCACCGATGGCAAATTAAAATACGTATACATTTTAGGCTGTAATCACTGCCTAAAAGTCCACACAACTATGGCACATGTGTGTATTTCAAACTTAAGGTTAGAGAAAAGCAAAATCAGGACTGCATTCCTTGGATGTCCAGTTATAAAAGAAAGTTATCAGCCAGTGTGTTAATACTGATAAAATGACTGTCAGTGCCAATATCGAATGAACTCACAACTGTACCAATGAATTGTCAATGTTATGATAAAGTTTACAATTGTCAATATACTTGCACAAATCTGGCTGTCTCAATCCTTTTAAATGTGCTACACAGAAATGGTACTAAATTAACGATTACTTTCCACACTGCTTAATTAAAATTACCAGAAAGTATCGATATCAGTGAATACAGGAAAAAAATATTCATAATTATTAACCTTGATACTCTGCCAGGAAGACTGAGCTTGTTTCATTTGAAGACTGTGATGACTCACCTTCCAAAAAGGCTTCTTTAGGGGGATTTCTACCTGCAGATGAGGAATATATGCAGCTGTGCAGTACATCTCATTCCCAAGCCTTGCAAGCCATATTGTAGTTTAATGAATGATTAACTTCCATCCACGGCCCTCGCAAAGCTCCCGATGATAGCTGAAGACTGTGTGGTACTTCCCGGAAACTACATATTCAGAGAGGGCATGAGTGAGACAAGTAAGCACTTATAAGAAGTTACTTTTCAAAGACAGAATAACTTCTATGAAATTCCCATCGCTTATTATCATTTGGACTTTAGGAGCCTAAAGGAGCCTTTAGGAGCCTGAGATAAGCTGCTTCTTTAAACATCTTAGTCAAGTGTACTGTCAGCTGAGTCACTGTCAACACCAGTGCATAGGTAAAATACAACTCCTAAAATGATTTTAAAATTACTAAAGGAGATAAAATGTGATTTTTTTTAAGCTATTCCTTCATTTCATGTTCGTTCCCATTTGGCAGCAACATCTATCTGTGGCTTCACATGTACACACACATCCTAGTGATTGCACTGGGATGTTCACATAAATATCCAAGGTCCTAACTTAGTACATATTTTATTTTATTTTGGTAAATGAACACAATAGCATTCTATAACCTTTCCTCTCAACGCCAGTATGCTAGAGCAGCTTTACTGTGGTATTATTTAAGAAACAATATCAAAATCTACTGACCTCCCCAGCTTGGCAAGAGTTTCCAAATGATTGCCTTCTACACAATTTATCCAGAGAACTGCTGATACATTGTCCTGGAGGAGAAGAAAGCAGCAGTTGGTCTTAGTAGCAAAGAAAACCTTTTAAGCTCCTACTAGCAATGACGAAGGAAAAGCCACCTCCACGAATGAAAAAAATCCCCACAATAACCCAGATGGGATAAAATTAGAATCTGTTATCAAGTCTGAAAAGCTCAATGCTAATGCTGTAATTGCGGCACAGAGGACTGCCATATAAAGAATTAATAAAGCTGCTTTGCATTAAAGATGGGCAAGGAGTAAAGTAACTTGCTACCACTTGGAAATGGAAAGGTTTAAGAAAATTAGTCCCTCCATATAGAAAACAAACTGTAGTGTTTCCACTGATGTAATAAGCAGCTCCACTAATATATATATATATTATATCATACACACACATATATATGTATTAAATTAATAAAACAAAAAGTGAGTTCAGAGAAGATCAGCACAGTGGCACCATTGCTGATTTAACCTCTGCATGGCAGCAGGTTCAGGACTAACTCCTCACTTCAAAATTACGTGTCTCAGAGGTGAAACTGGTATGAAGGCCCAATTTCTGCCAGAGTTTAGAGATCATAATGGAAGTGTTAAATAATAGATTAGCATTTCACATTACAGAGACAGGAGAGGGATGCAGCAGTCAGGGTCACAGGGACGTTTGCCGAAAGTGCTGAGAATGTGATGGCTAACAGATTGACTCTCAGCAAATGGGATTATCCAAAGATGCTCAGAAGTGACACATTTCGAGGGAGACAACTTCTCTCTCAGTTACTGGGTAACAAGCCCATGCTATGTGTCTTGGATGGACGCTTAGCATGGAGGTAGGACGCCAGAGGTAGATCATTTAAAGAACCTTGCAAAATGCAGTACTTTCATTCTCTGCAGCTTCCTGAATACCTTCTGAAGACCTAGAATTTCTGTGCACAACATCTGTGCACAACAAACGTGCTTCACTCAGAAAGCAATGCAGCTGAACAGAGAGATCTCTTGATGCTTCACTAAAGCCAGTCATCACCTAGTATTGCAGTGTAACATAAGTAAAATACCTCAGATTGACTTAGAATTTCTCTGAGATCTTTTGAACTTCAGCCACCATTCCATGGATGTAATCCAAGTTGTAACACAATCTGCAACTAAGTAAATTTGCAGATAACCTCACCGTGCATGAGATATTTTTTTCAGGATGCTTTGTAGGGTATAGGTTTTTTTTTTTTTTTTTTCACTCTGTAGTTTATTCAAGCTTGAAAATGGTAATTTGAGAGAAAGATATTTTGGCTGACATTATTCCAAGTTATATTCTGCTTCCATCAACGGAATTTAACAGGGCATGACCCAGCCCTATGGTTCTAGTCCATCAAAATAAAAATTATATATGTTATTTTAAAAGAAAAGGTCAGTTGTTTTACAGAAGATTTTGAGGCTGAGAAGAAATAATCTTGCAAAGATCAATAAACTATGAAACATCTCTATAAAGAAAGGTATTTTTCTCTTCAAGTTGATGTGCGTATAGTTGTTATCCATCTATATTCCACTGAGACTCTTTATTTTTTCATGTATCTATCTAGCTTGCAAGCTACATATTAGTTTCAAAGTTAGCAGAAGAGGCAATATTCTGTGGTCTCAGAGACACTGCTCTTGGCTGTAATTTCAGATCTAAAAAAGTAATAAAAAAAAAAATCACATATGCTGCTTGCAGGACGGAGGTGACCTGAGTCTCATGTCTGAAGATACCTACTTAATCTTTTGGAACATCCCTTGGAAAAGATCAATTTTCAATTGACAGGAACATTCACTATTGCAAACCTCCCTGCTGAGATACAAAGCTGAGGCCATCTATTAAAAGGAATGTAATGAACGGCAGGGCTGATCCCTTTGGTTATTAGCTAAAGGCATGGATATATACCAAAAAAATCTAGCTAATCAAAGACTGCAAATTAACAGTATGTTAAAACAGGCTGGTTTTGTGTCTATGGTTACCGACAAGTCACCAGATGCTCAAGATCAATAGATGTTTTGCATATTTCAATTATTCTTGTGGGTTTAGATCTTAATTACTCTTACGAACTTCAGGTAGTTTTGGCAGACATAGTTACCTTGAAGCTGTAAGTCTTACTGTTGTTTTGTCAGCTAAAACAAGGTGCCAGTATGCTGATATAGAGTTTTATTGTGTCATGATTTTACTTCCAGTGACTCATCTTAATGCTAGGAGCTGATACCACAGAGATTGCAGTGTCTCCTACACTAAAAATTCTGTTAAATTAACTTGCAAAAGGGGGGCATCTGTTTAACAGAGAACATTATTTTATAATTCTTCATACTTTTTCACAAACAATACTCCCAGTCTTGCAGACACTGATGGGGTCTATAATGAAAAGTTAGAGAAAACATTAAAGGTGAGCTAGATTATGCAAGAAAAAAAAATGCATCAACTGTACTTGAATTCAGGGAAGGATTAGTTTGCATGGACTATAATATGAAGAAAGGAACAAGCTTTCAAGTTAAATATAGTATTTAATTAATGGGTGTCATACCAATCTTATGAATTACAAGCCTCTCCTTGTAACAGGCTATGTGGATGTGTATCTTTTTTCAAGCAGCTGCCAGTGAGTTTGTCCTCCCAAGCAACCACTCCTCGGCTGCTGAAACTGCTTGCTCCTATTCCTCAGGCTTCAAAATGAGCTGTCAGCCTCTGTGCAAAGTCTTGCTGTCAGTCGCAGGCCAACCTGCAGCCTTGCTCTGCTCCTTGTTGTCTGCCTTTGAGTTCCTAATCCCGCTTTAAAGACCCTCATCCTGCCTTCTACTCTCACTCTGTCTGGTACCTGCTCCCAGAAACATTAGCTTCACCTTACTGCAGTCCTGCGTTCTCCAAATACTTTGTTATTAAAGTAGTAAAATATTAATTACCTCAGTAATGAGTTAACAAAGGAAAACTTTCTACTATTCTACTATTTCACTATTCTACGTTTAATGCCTGATATCAGACTAAGAAGGTAGCATACAAGAAATACAGGTTACTAGCAGGTAGCAAGAGGCAGAAAATTACTCCTTACGAAAGCGTGGACCCTACAGAAAATCCAAGTAAAAACAGGCTCATTTGTTAAACAGCCACAACAAGTAGTATACAACAACTATCTTAAAAATTCCTTTCATATCTTGCAATGAACTGTATATTACTGTAAGTAAGCGTTAAGAATTAGCAGAGAAGATATAAGAGGAATTAAATCAGATAAGAATTGTTAAGAAATAAAAGCATGCATAAGAGTCACAGCAACTAAGGGTTAAAACACATTTTTAGAGTAATACATATATCTGTGCACTTCTCGGAATAAAACCTTTAAAATGATTGATGGCGATTGACATTCTATCAACACCTAAAATTCTAAAAATGTGTAATAAATCAATCAATCCAGAATGTGAATAGGACTCGTGTCTGGTATCTGCATATCTGCATTTTTGCTGTTCTCCTTCATCGCTCTAGAAATTATCTACTTTAAGTCATATTTATGCATTTTTGCATACTGAACTTTGCATTTTACAGCCTATATTTTTAGTCTAATTCCTGCT